AAAAAAAAAAAAAGGCTCGGTGCCTATAGCACAGTGGTTATGTCGCCAGCCACATATACCCAGGTTGGTGAGTTCGAACTCAGCCCGGGCCAGCTAAACAACAATAACCAACTGCAACAACAACAAAAAAAATAGCTAGGTGCTGTGGTGGGCACCTGTAGTCCCAGCTACTTGAGAGGCTGAGGCAACAGAATTGCTAAAGCCCAAAGAGTCTGAGATTGCTGTGAGCTGTAACACCATATCACTCTACTGAGGGTGATACAGGGAGACTCTGTCTCAAAAAAAAAAGAGAGAAAAGAAAAAGAAGAAACTAAAGATTCAAATAAATTAGAAAGTAATCTAAAATAGTTTTTTCAAAGGATGTTTCAATTTATGCTTAGTAACCTTTGTCACAATAATCAGAAGAAAACCTTCCCTTAATAGAAGAAAACTGAGGCTCAGTGTCCATAGCACAGTGGTCATGGCACTGGCCACATACACCCAGGCTGGCAAGTTCAAACCCAGCCTAGGCCAGCTAAACAACAATGACAAGTGCAACAACAACAAAAAAATAGCCGTGCGTTGTGGCAGGCACCTGTAGTCCTAGCCTCTTGGGAGGCTAAGGCAAGAGACTCTCTTAAGCCCAAGAATTTGAGGTTGCTGTGAGCTGTGAAGCCACTGTACTCTAGCAAGGGTGACATAGTGAGACTATCTAAAAAAAAAAATACAAAAAAACTGAATTAGCATCATTTAGAACCCAAATCTGTGAGGATACACAGCTCATCACTACAGGTAACTTTCCCACCATTCCTTATTCCTTACCTAATTACTAGCTAGAAAATTTTTTGTGTTACAAAATTGTACTAGCTAGAAAAATTTTGTATTTAAAACTATTAGCTTTAGACTTGACACCCACAGTTCAGTAGTTAGGGCACCAGCCACATACACCAAGGCTGGTGGGTTCGAACCTACCAGGGCCTGCTAAACAACGACAACTACAACAAAAAAATAACCAGGAGTTACTCAGAAGGTGAGGTATTAGGATCATTTGGACCCTTGAGTTTGAGTCCAGTCATATATCCCATCTCTTTAAAACAAAAATAATTTTTTCTAAATCCTACATAAAATTGTAAGCAGAGCTATAAAAAATGGTTTGCTTAGAACATAATGAGAATGTCATACTGGCTCAGTAGGTCAGAAAGTAATTAAGGTATTGTAAATACCTCAGAGA